ATTGCCCTTCAGACAGGCTTAGTTTCAAATGCTTTCTGTTTCACAATATTTACACATGGTGAATGAACAGGGATTTAAAAGTTTGGAGATATTTAAATTCCAATTAAAACAGATGACAAAAATAATTTGATTAAGCTATAACAAACCGCACTGACACGTAATGTACAAGTATTCTAACATGAATGCGAAAGTTGCCAAGAATTTAACTAATTACAACCCATGATTATATACAGCACATTTATATAAATAAGCACTGATTCAGTGAAAGTACGTTAAATACATATTTATACCAAACACTGATTTAATGGAAGTACTTTACCTACATTTTAATATAAATCACTGATTCAATGAAAGTACTTTAGATCCATTTTAATTTAAATCACTGATTCAATGGAAGTACATTACATCCATTTTAATATAAATCAATGATTCAATGGAAGTACGTCGCATCCATTTTAATATAAATCAATGATTCAATGGAAGTACGTTACATCCATTTTAATACCAATCACTGATTCAATGGAAGTACGTTACATCCATTTTAATACCAATCACTGATTCAATGAAAGTACCTTACATACATTTTGATACCAATTACAGATTCAATGAAAGTACGTTTCATACATTTTGATACCAATCACTGATTCAATGGTAGTACGTTACATCCATTTTAATACCAATCACTGATTCAATGGAAGTACCTTACATACATTTTGATACCAATTACAGATTCAATGAAAGCAATTCAAAGAAATTGGCTTCACACATTGTACCCATGTAGGGAATCGAACCCGGGTCTTCGGCGTGACGAGCGAATGCTTTAGCCACTAGGCTACTCCACCACCCTTGTATTATCATAATGTAGGCAGGCTGAGTCCACTTATGTTTTGTACATCATCTTAAAAGTTCTCACACGGGAATGTCGGAGACCCGGCATATAACACGCATATGCTAAAAGCACTCGGCGATGAAAACCCGGTCGGTAAAAAAACGTCAAAAAGGTCTGAGCTTCACTGCCCGGGGCGACGACACAACAGATTAACCATGTTACGAGATGCGGGGAACTAACGATGTGTGGGAAAATGAACTTGCAGATACCTTGGTTGATCGGTACCTAGACACAGAATGATTTCAACCATTCCCATTATACCCATTCTTGGAGAATTCCCTGTCACACTTTCAAAGGGTGGGTTTAGATTTTTATTTGTCCACTGCACTATTCTGACCATACCAGAAACACGTGTTTATGAACCACTATCAAACAGCGATGACACCAGGTGTTCGCGAAACGTAAGAGTACCATGCCCCACCGGTGCATCCGTCACAAACACATGCAAGGCAAAGTCAATTGTTCAACCAGGAACACATGTCTATCATGAAACGTTGTGAAACGTTTACGTACGCCTTGGATGCTGTTACCCTGATCAAGCAACTTTTGAGCAACAGTAGTATGACGCTCTGGAAATCTTGGTAGAAAGAACATGCTCGAATGTACCTAAACGTTGTGAAATTTAGACACCGAGGGCTGGAGCTGCAAGAAATTGCTCGACATGAAGGGAAAGTTGAAGCCATCCCACTTGTCATACGGTATTGTGTCACTCTGATTCCTTATGCGTGGATCTAATTATGGAACAGATGAGATTTCCCTTATTTCTATTATTTCTCGTTCTGGTGGGTAAATCACAAAAAGGAAATTGGCTATTTGACCAGTATTGAATGCTATCGAGATTTTTGATATTCTTGAAGCTTAAGTTAATCTTCTTGGCCAAATTGCCTTCTTTTGATTTTGCCAATCCAAGCAGAAATTCCGATTCATATGCATAAAAAACCCAGATAAGCCAGAAGGGAGGCGCTTGTTATTAATTCATTGTGTGTTTTTTATTTCTCCCGGCAAGATTGATACTACTTGCGTGTAAAGATAATGTTGCGCCATGTTGGCACCAAGTGCGTCATAGTCAAAGGGAGATAAGCCATGTCTATTTTTTTGTATTAAGATCGAATTCTTGTAAAAATGAACTATTTCAGTGAAATGTATCATTGAACTTGTGTTTTGTCCATTTTGCAGATGTAACTCCATTACGTTTATCCGTTGTCTCGTCAAAAAGTAAAACAACATTAGTTTCCTTTTTGTGTGAACTTTAACCTTGGCACTCACGTCTCGAAAGAGACCCCTTCAATGTTATTTTTCGTTAATAAAGAAAGGAGAACGTGTATGTCCCTATTGTCGACTAAATGTCTCCATATCACGAAGGGCGTGTCTCCTACATCTCATGTGGTACACTTTGCTCCTCTATACACATGAAGTCGCCAGACTAATAGTATGTAACCTGCTTCAACAAAGACGGAAGGTACACCAAGGTATTTGATCTGTATACTTTTAAGCTGAGAGTCTTAGATTGAAGAAGGCTCATTTTGATACCCATATCGCCATGATTAAAGAATTAAGAGCAGGAAAGTGTTTTCGTGTTTGTTCGGGTGTATCCGTTACATCCGGGTGTGACATGTCTGGTGGAAGGAATAGCAGGAAGGAGAGAAGACGACATGTTTGTTTGTCGCCACACACAGGGAAATCTCAGCTGCCATGTTGGATTTATTGACGGGAGAGTATTGTGTTTGTTTAGATGAGTGCATGTAGATACCCAGGTGTTGATTCACGCTTTTAGGGATGTTTCTAGGGGTTAATTCAATGTAGGGGACACGAAGACTGTGATATACGTTGACATGGCGCATAGGGTGAAGTGCGTGAGAAAAACCGCAGATGCCCAGAGTCATCCTCGATAAATACCCAGGACCAATTCGCCATCACAGCTTCTTTTAGGGGATGACGTCATTATCTCAATCTTTCACACAATATAGTAACTTCGCATAGAGGTTCTCTGGCACACGGGTGTAATTTGATCGCACGTACGGCTATTTATAGGGTCGCCTATCTCGAATCGGACCGTAACGATGCGAACATATCATATTAGAATGGATAAATGTTATGCTCTGTAGTCGAAGATGGCTCAGATTGTGTTTACATTTAAGAGGGAATTTCTATGTGCAGGGAGTGTCTTTACTCCCTTTAAGCCTGTCCTATGACAGTGTTTAAAATTCCGAAGAATTCCACTCAGAAAGTAGGACTGGGCAAGTCTAATAAATTACCAGTCCAGTTCAAATGTTGCCAGTCCAGACAAAAAAAATGACCATACCAAAATTCAACGTACTCAAGGGGCAGCGTTTGTGTTCTAATGTGAAATCATCGTTACTCTTTAATTATTTTGAGAGTCAACACTTATAACTTGAGTCATAATTTTAAATGCAATCAGCAACTTACGTAACATTATTGCTCTGTCTTTTATTTCCTCCTAATTTACAGATGGATTGGGGTCTATTGGTCAAGGCAGAGAGACTATACAAAGACTGCATGGACTCCCCGGTGAAGGCCTTTGACTTTTCGCTCTGTCAGATACCCAAGAAAGTCCACACATTTCGTAAAGGTGGTATCTAACTAGAACTGATAGTTTTCTCTTTAAACTGGACATGGTATTCGGACGCACATTGATCTCGCTTGGATTGATGTCTGTAAATGTTACAGTTTGATAAGATAAGATTTTAGATTATTTGAAATAAAGACTGAAAGGGTTACAAGCAATGACTCAGTTATACACCAGTCCGCTAATCAACGTGGTATTTAGGCATCGCGATCACGGTAACGTTACGGCTGTCATGTTTGAAATTCTACGTGTGGTCGTTATGCGTTCAACAGATTGTGCATGTGACCTTTGAAGTACACACGGAAGAGATGTTAAAACGTACCATCGTTCCGAAATGTGATTCAGCCAGACTCTGTGAGCATTAAACGACATGCAGTAACTTCACATATAATTTCTCACGCTCACCGGTGGTTGTTTTTGTTGATTTAACGCAGCACTCATCAATATTCCAGCTGTATGACGGCAGTCTGTAAATAATCAAATCTGAACCAGACAATCCAGTGATTGACATCATGAGCATCGATCTACGCAATCGTGATACGATGACATGCATCAACCAAGTCAGCGATTCTGAGCACCCGATCCCGTTAGTTGCCTCTTACGACAAACAGAGTCGCCTTTTTACGGCAAGCATGGGTTGCTGAAGACCTATTCTACCCTGGCTCTTCACGGGTCTGTGCGTTATGTACTGAAGAATATCTGCTATTGGTTATGACCTCATCGTTTATTATAAACCTTGAATAGGCTTCCATATCATGGTGTCCTCACCCTAAATGACACCGCCACACGGTTTCGCATCTATGCCAAGTTACCATACACTCAATACAAGAGGCTTTTATGCCCAGGTAATCACGTCAAATGTCAACTAATCCGATATTTGAAAATACTTCTTATCCCTTGCATTGGTGACGATGATATCAACACTCATGGGACGCCGCGACCCGCCTCTGCCTGTGTCATGTGACCTAGGACGCAATGTCACATGCTATCAGTCCTCAAAAGTTAATTCTGCAGCAAATCACCTCTGTAACAAGTGGGTGGGTGTATGCTTCGTGACGGGTTATGTGTCACTGAGTTTGGTTTCATTAATAGCGAGCATGGATGCCAATCATAACTGGATGACGTTTCTCTTATTTATATATGATGATTCAGATTCATTCCTACAGAATCTATTTTTTTTGTCCGGAAATCGAGTTGCAACGTGTATGCGGGATCTTTTAATACTGATTACGCATGTTTTTATTTGATTTATTTTTGTGTTGAAATTTAGGACTTTATTTATCGGCCCTTGACGTTATTTAATTAATTTTACTTTATTATGATATTTGTTCTTTAACTTTAGTGTCTTAAACCTGAATATTGAAGGAAAATATCTATGAAATAATTTACTATGCTGTATTTCATCTCGTATACTTATTACCACACACGGATGTCTGTACACAACTGAACCGATTGCCCCCCCCCCCCCCCCCCTCTCTCTCTCTAGATCTAAACACCAGAGAGTTTCAATGATGTACATTTCAAGATAATTTGAAGATGGCCTAGGCTTAGCTTGTTCTTGTTTTAATCCAACAAGGCAATGAGAGCTCCCTACAGCGGTCACGTAAACCCACGTGAATTAGCCCCGTCACCAAAGCTCACAAACACGTCCCGCCATGAAGACAAACTAAGCAGTCAGTCTTGTCTGTGTTATTTTAGTTTGTGGTTTTGATTTAGACACACAGCGGCGTCAACAACGACAAAAACAACATTGTCATGTTCGCCTAAGACATGAACTGACCACGAGTGTACGACGGCGATGTAAATATCGTCTTCCCGGAACACGGAACATGAGAAGGTTGTGATTAGAAATCTTTTAAGTCGGTGTTCGGACAAAAATATCTCCTTGATAATTGGTATAGAATTGGCACATAGGTGCTTATGGCCACGTGAATACATATTCTTTCTTGACAATTTAGAATCATACATTCAGACTGGACTCCCAGAAGAAGAAGAAATTGCATTGCAAAATGCAAGATTGGCAGTACCAAAATATTCATAAAATAAAAACTATACAATGCCTATGAGACACATGACACAGTATGTATATAATATGCATAATACAATGCATATATAGGTTAAAATGTAGATGCAAGTGTGGTTTTTTTAAACAGGAAAGCCCACGAAAAACGGCCGAAAGCTTTTATTGAAAAAAACCCAGTAACACAGTTTGACATTTGGCGCTACTCTATCACTTACTGCAACGTCAAGTTAACCACGTTACAATGTTTAGACTGTCTGGGCATCAATACCATTTATACCTAAACGAACCAGTTTAGTTTATCCTAATTATGTTTGCTTTTATATTTTATACCTTTTGAAAATGGCATGATATGGCGAAATCTACCCCCAGATATCATAAACTACCGGGCAAACGAACGTATACACTTGAAAATTTGATTTGACCCCTAAATTACAAATGTCATCAGAACGTTATTAGACTGACCTTGTTGTGATATACTCATTGATATGATGCATGCACTATCGCCTAGGTAGCCGTATCAAATACATCACCGTCGAATAACGATTTCTTGTTTGTTTAATTTTCAGCCACCTTCAAACATTGGTGTATACTTTCTTTCTTACCTTAGAGCTCTATGATAATTACCGCACAACGTTATTTCGGGTATGTCTTATGCGTGTTTCGTTGTTTTAGACTGAACTATTATCAGGACATGGTATTTCGTTTATACGCGCCCTGGTGCTTATTCTTGGACCAAGCTTCCAAACCCGGCGGATAATGGAGACCTGGCGGTAATTAGAGACCTGTCACTTAATGCTTCAACTACGGTGTTGCATTTATTTATAAGCTACAGTCTCTAATAAATTGTTTGCAACACAATTTTATGTTCTTGATACATAATTTACTCAGGATAGAGAGTGACAGTAGTACTTTGAAACTGGAACAAGAACTGTTTGTGTTGAGTGTTAACCAAAGAACGATACAATTGAATTATATACATACAACTACAGTTAAAGCTGGCGCTTATTATACGTCAGAAATGTTGTTAATCGCGATAGCGATCCACATAACTATGGAGTCGATAGCTTACAACATATTTCTATCCGAGTCTATGCTGAAAAAAGTGTGAAACAACATACCTTTTTAATAATTTGGGAAGGATAATAATAGAAGGTATCGACAGGCTATTGTAATGACCGTGACCTTATTAATAGATAACTCAGGGGCAGCTAATCTTAGTTCAATACTCTAGCTGAGAGTGGTTTCCCTTTGTATTTGCCCGGCGAGATCCAGGGGTGCGTTGCAAAGCGCCAATCGCTTGCAAGCGATGTACAGCGATTCGCCTTACAACAGTGCGCTAACTTTCAGCCGCTTGCAAGCGAAACAATCGCTGGCTGAGGTCGCTTCGTTCTCAAACCAAAATGGCGCCTTACTTTGACAGCGGAACAAGAAATTCTTGAGTGGATCAACGAGGAAATCAGCAAAGGCAGCGAAGACCCCATCATCCTCAGCCTGCTGTACATCTTCAAAGTAGTCATAAATTCGATCAGCTCGTCATCGAGCCTCTTCTATTACGTTCTTCATTACGTCAAGGCAACCAAACGCTAGTTGCGCCGCCATTTTGGAAGAGTTGGCAAGCGCTTCGAACTGTTGCAGACATCAGGATGAGCGATTAATTTGCTTTCTCTGAGCGATTCGTGGCTTGCAACGCGCCCCAGGTAAATGTTACAGTTTCACAAAGCGCAGGGTTCCGTCGTTATATTTTCTGGATCGGATGTCAATGCGTTGGTGTTTATCTTCGCATTTTATAAAAATATATCGATCTTCATATATGACGAAGTGAAAAACTATAAGCGTTTTACATAGGATTTTACATCTAAATTCGTGTAAGACGAGCGGTTTTAACAACTGTAGTATTATTGTTTTAACATAGTCGCCTTTTACGGCAAGGATGGATTGCTGAAGACCTAGGCTACCCCGGATCTTCAAGGATGATGGGGTGTCAGCTACCTTTGCTCATTTCCTCGTTGATCCAGTCAAGAATTTCTTGTTCCGCTGTCAAAGTCAGCCGCCATTTTGGTTTGAGAACGAAGCGACCTCAGCCAGCGATTGTTTCGCTTGCAAGCGGCTGAAAGTTAGCGCACTGCTGTAACATCGCGCCCCCTACACTAACTATGACGTCACACTTATATGACGTCACAACAAACGCTCCGTCACTAAGACTCCTGTGATCAAGACGTCTTATAATTGTTGATGACAGTGTATGTACATGATGACTCAAGGCAGTCTCCACAGCGCCCCATTGGTGTATGTCCTTGTCAACAAGGGAGTGAAGGTAAGAACGAGAGCGAATGAGTAAGGTTTTACGCCGCTTTAGCAATATCCCATCAATGGCGGGTTAAGAAAAAAAAAATGTACTTCACACAATCTACTCATGCCAGGAATCGAACCCAAGCCTTCGGCGTGACGAGCGAACGTTTAACCCCCACCGCGCCCAAGAACAGTAGTTCACGTCGAGAAAACAACTACAGTCGGCAATCATTTGATCCGAGTTTTGTATCTTGTTTTGTCTGTTTATTTATCTGCCACTGAAGAATTTAACAAATTTCTTGAATTCTGCTTCGGAAACGAACCGCTAGTTCAATCAACGTCTCACCTGTTTCTCCGACAACGCCAAATATTCAAGCACAAAAAGGAAATTGCAAAAACTACCCCTTCACACAATTTGGTGATTATGTTAAAATAATGTTCCAGATAAATACATATCTTGATGCATGCTTCGGAACGAAGGGACGGATGAGACATTGAAAGACCGCCTCAATTGAGACATAAACCTTCCAAGGTATTTCGGCATGTACACACGAGTAGTGACAGATTGTTTTTTTTGTTAATAATAATCACCACTTTCAATTTCAAAGAGGAGCAAAGGTATGTGCTTTGGTTTTTCCTGAGCCGGTTTTAACAAATATGAATAACATTAAAGGTCTGGTCATCTTTTGCAGGCAATGCGTACCGGGCTCCACAACATTGCCGACAACAGTGAGCGATGCCGCCTTCCACCCGAGTGTCGCGCATCAATGACATCACATCAAACCAGGTAAATAAAACCGGATATCTCATTTAATGAGTTCTCTACATTTGTGTACACACCCCTATGACTACAAACTACACTTACAACTGCTTACATTATTGTTGTTTATTTCATGACAAGGAACATGGCACGGTCCAACTTCTAACTTCCTGAGCGGCACCTGGTGCAGAGAAACAGCTATGGGCGTCTTCCATGATGGACACAAACGAAAGCGGAAGCCGCTCTGGATGTGGTACAAGAACCAACTACTGCCCTTCGATCGCACCTATCCAGATGGACATTTTAAACAATTCCAAACATCTGCCGAGGAGGAATTAAAAAGGAACACGCAAGAAATCGTCGTCAAGCCGTGTGCTGAGGATGAAACATTCCCTGGAAAATCAGATGAAATTGGAATTCCCTCTGACATTTCCACAGAGGGACGGTTGGATATGAGACCGGAACGTTCCCCACAGCCACAGCCGGTCAATACTCCCACCCACCATCTTGAGACAGTGGTCGAAACCAGGAAGAGACGACCACGGACCCGTGGCTCTCTTCTCAACACCGACCAGAAGATGTGGATGTCCCAGAGGTCGAGGGGGGATGAGGGGAGTGAGTCGACAGGTGACAGATGCTCGTCTGACCTGTCAGGCGTCCCCGATGCCTCACCATCAGCAGGGGATGTCATGCCAGGCGTACCCAAAGCCTCAAAACCGGCAGGGGATATTCTGAAACAGGCCTTTGGGTACGACCCTTCAGAAGATGCATTCTGGAACATCAAAAGCCAGGGTGTTCTTCCTGATGATCCATCAATACTAGGTAGGAAGCAGGTTCAATTCAAGAGAACTGATGAAGACGAATATTCCGTGCATGGTCGTGGCTCCACTTCGACCTTCTTCCATGCCACTGTGGAGGACACAGCTGTTCTTGTGAAGGATCGAACAGAGTCTAACCGGCCTGTTGCTGAGGTGATGATCGAGGCGAAAGTTATATCCTCCCTCTCTGGCACAAGTGTCACGCCGCATCTGTTGGGGGTTCTGGAGCAGGGCGTCATGGAGAGGGAATACAGTCTTGTCCTGGAGGACTGCACAGGCTTCATCTCGCTCCAGGACCTCCTTCAGTCTGGATACTTTGTCTCCAGATCCGGTTGGACAAACATCTGCCTGTCCCTGTCCAGCCGACTGAAGACTCTCCACAGCCACCGTGTCCTTCACAACAACATCTGCTCCAGCAACATCATCATCAACAAGGACACGCTGGAGGTGAAGCTGGTTGGCTTTGGACAGGCGTCCTTCGGGAAGGGAGTCAAGCTGCCCAGCGCTACACGCCACCAACCTGGACTTGCTCCAGAGGTGAGGCTGGACTGTGTCACCTCCCAACAGGCAGATGTTTATACTTTGGGCTCTGTCCTGGGTGAGATCAAAGTGACCAGCAATTTGATGAACCTCCACGAGGTCGTTCAAAAGTGCCACCAGGATCTCCCTAGGAACAGAGCTCAGGCATTAGAGATCAATAACCTCATGCAGACTGCGTTTAACAGATTTCAAGGTTAGGTCATATCAGAAGGTTTAAAAGTTCCAGTTAATAGTTATGTCACCTAGATCTTCATAAAAAAACACTGGTGATTTTTTCAGTAGATTTTAATACAACTTCTTAATTGGTAGGAAAGTTTGCATTCAAATTCATTATTTCGTAAATTTTGGAAAACACATGTTTTTGATAATCAATACACCGCCCTTCATACGTTTTCTTTTCAGTTTACGAAAGCTGACGTAAAATGAGCTTAAATTACCATTGTCTCCGTTGTTATCTTCACAGATAATTCACATCCCGTTACGTGTATTTATTCTATCAGGTAACCTGTCATCCATATCTATAAATATACAAATGTTTGTTTTGCCGGGAAAACATATTGGAAGTTTGTACAGTCTTTGACGGTTTTTTTTGCAATCCTTAATAATATCTTCCCGAAAACTGTATGTGTATTGTACATAGAAATTTATTTTTATCTTAGATATATATTGGGAGATTTGGTTAGTTTTCAGATAAACTGCTCATACGTGTGTAGAATAAATATCTTTTTAGGTTTGAACAATATCCGAGTGCATTTGAAACAAAGTGTTGGTTGCACACACACACACACACACACACACACACACACACACACACACACACACACACACACACATATATATATACACACACATACATACATATATATATATATATATAGTGTGTGTGTATCTCAAATTCTTATGTATGTCCGTTAAGAATGCCCATGCTATTTGTTTTTTGTGTTCAGTGTAGTCATTTATTCATGTTATAACGTTTAGTGTATATCGTTTTTACAGGGTATCATCTTTGTGTGTGTATGCCAGGGTGCGTGTAAAAAATGTATGTTAAAAGCAAGTAATTTATGGTGCATAAACACAAATATTCATAAACATTTTTGTGTTCATAAATGAATGTCTTTTAAATATGGACATAACTAATGTTTTACGTTACACCAGCTATTTGTCAGCTTTATGAAGCGATAGTTGAAAATACGGAAACAATATTTATATAATGTTCCTGAAAAGATAGTTCTTGTTTTCTTATGCATGTGTAAAATACAAATAGATTTATGTTTGAAAAAATTCAGAATGCGTAAACATATTTACTGTTGATTGTATACAAATACATTGATCACAAATTCTTATCCTGTTTGTTCTGTATGAAGTCATTTATTGCTTATGGTGAAATCGTAAAAAAATATTTATGTAAAAATATATATATCTACATAAAAACTTATACTTGTAAGTTTTAACATAATATATTGAATATATTCATAAAAATATGTTTTGGTTGTGTTCTACAGTTATCTTATTCGGATCTTATGCTGGAATAAAGTTATTCTCATATTTGACTTTTTAATCTTTTTGATTTGTATGAAAAACCACACCTAAACAAGATCGTCTCATTAGATTAATTGCACGACGCAATATATTGAAATCTGCTACTGTTATCAGTAGAGAATTCCGTACAATATCAGGAAGGTGCATTTCAGCATCTGCCTTAAACACCGGATCTATGCAGCCCGCCTGAGAGCAAGGTTTCCTGTGAGGAGTGTGACTTTCACAAGGATCGGGGTGGGCTCGGCAACACCAGAGACAGCACTAATGGCGTTACGCCATGTTTACAGACAAATCAAGGTTTTGCCTCCGATTCACAGATGGCTGAAAACGTTGTTGACAATGTAGTGGCGAACGTTATGCCAAGGCAACAATTCTTGACCATAATCGGTATGGGGGCGACAGTGTCATGGTGTGGGGCGCTATCAAACACAACAGGCGAACTTATTAGTTATTGTGAATGGACATTTCACTGGCAAGCAATGTGTTGACGAAATTTTGCTTCCTGTCGTTGTTCCATTCGCTAGAATTATCGGCAGAAATTGTGAGATGCAAGGTGAAAATGCCAGACCACATCGTGCCCAGGTGGCCACCGGCATACGGACATTGGACTGGCCCGCTAAGTCCCCTGACATGTCCCCAATAGAGCATCTGTGGGAAGTTCTCGGCGGAGAGTGGCCAGGGACCCCGCCAATCGCCAACCTTGCTCTTCGGGCGGAATGGCAATACCACGGGCGACCATCCGTACGTTATGTCATCCAGGTGTCGTGCATGTATCGCCCAACATGGTGGACACACCAGATATTGATCTACACGTCCGCAATTAATTTACAAACATTTATCGTCATTTATCATTTCATCAGTTTTCGTATTTAAGTCGATAGTATATAATTGCAAAGAACATGGTCTATATACATATGTTGTTCATATTTTACAGATCTACCCAATCCGTAGAAGACGCAATGTAAATGCTCCATTCCCGCGAACCGCGACCTCTCCTGGTTAATCTGCAGATTGGTCAATCGTGCGTAATCCCATAGAATATGCAAACACTATCGATGATGATTTTTTACTGCATAAGATCAGAACATTTTGATAAATAGAAACAGCAAATCAGTATCATGTTTATAAAATGTTTTGAAAAGAGCATGGACTCCAGAAGAAACACAGGACCTAAACCTTGATTTTACACCTTTGAAACAAACGCAAATGCAGTGACTGGATTTGCGGATGATCGCTATATGAACTGACTTTCGACGTTTATTCCATATGAAGCTACACCTTTGAAACAAAGGATTATTGTTATTTCCGTATACACAAGCATCGGGTCCAGGTGATTAACGGCATATAGATGTATTCCATTAAATATAACAATTTATTGAAATTTTGACAGCAACAATTAAGCACTGATTTTCGTGTCGAAAAAAAAATAAAATGGGTTCCCATGCTCGTTCGGGTTTAAAGTGTCGTCCAAAAGTACAATAGTTTGCACATCGTCCAAAATTCACTTTCCAATATATGTTCGCAGAAAACGTTTTAGTGAATGAAGTTTAATAATCAGTTTAAAATAGACATGTTCAAAACAATAATCTTTGAATTTTGCATTCAATTAACCGATTTTAAAATAATAATTGATTTTGGTCTTTTTAATATTTAAATGTACATCTTCCCGTTTTATGTAAAAAAATATATAGATACTTGAGACCGTTCAGATAATATCATTGTAAAGGATAGGGTCACCGGACAAATACTATTAAATGACCCTCAGCAATGCTGCCAAACGTCATCGGGAATAGATTTCACACATTTACAATGTAGATATTTCGCCCACCAACCAGATTTAAATCCAAAAAAAATCTGTTCATTGGCTCTACTTGATTTAAAAGGATAGAAAAGGACTACATTATTTATATGTTCACGTTAACTTGTGGCGCGTTCCATGAGACAACATAACTTGACAATTTCCTAAATTATCTCCCTGAACGAAAATTAGTGTCACTTACAAATTTTGAAAAGAATTTTGGATCTAGATAGATAAAAATAATAACTTATATCTTAATACAAATAGCTTGATATTGTATTTGAGTCCTTGGTTTATTCGTGAAATATATTGGATATATAAATAACAAACAAACTTAATTTAAGCATACATTATCACTCGCTCGCGCTCGCGAGGGGACCATTTGAAGGGAAAATAGTGAAGTGTCTTTCTGCACATTTGTTCAATTCTAATAGTGTAGTGTGGTAACACTACACTTATTGATTATGACATTTATTGGGTTTGCAAAATGCCTTTGCATGACACACGAATAATATTTGTGTTCGTGGAGTCATCATGGCATCTTCTGTCATACAAACAAAACGTCTACATGTAGGACGTATGCAGGATTGTACTGAATGTCACTCAAATAGTTGCGTTCTAAACAATGTGAACTGACAATGTGATAATGAATTCCGTGTCACTTATGTCAGCAGCTAGGAAATCCCGTGACGTCATTGGGAAACACCTCGCTTTTTCAATCTCTAACACAAATGAGTTCTCTGCTAGAGTTACGATAGGTATCGTAAATCTGTGCGATCTGCGACAGGTTTACGATAGTTTAATATCTTATCTTTGATCGTAAGTTGTTAAGATTCATCTTAGCTAAGATCGTTTCGAAAAATCTAGGCCTAGACACTTATCAAAGGAAGTACGGTGTCTGGTGTAAATATTATGGTTAACGCCCTGTATTGAAATGTAGAGATTAATCACGTGTTTATTGCAAAGATAAACTTGATCTTTAATTAAAAACAACAACAAACAAATGTACGATTTGTACGTATTTCACTCTATTTCTAATGTGTACCTACATTCCATGATGACGTCATAGTGAGAACGTTAGTCAGCACCACTCGAATGCAGACATGCATGATTAGTCGCAATATTTAAAACAGGTATACGGGTCTAATGTATTGTTATTTTTCAATTGCATGGATTGTTGGAAAAGTGACTTTTAGCAACGTGACGTCAAATCAGTAAACAATGACTCACATTTCTAATGTAAGTCATACTGCAACCGGGTTTGACTATAGACGCCATGTTGGTCTCCCGGAGGCGCGTGTTCTCTTGATACGTCAATAGTGCACATAAACATATAGTTTGAGGCATTGCGCCACAATCAGGAATATTTCAGCTAGATCTCTGCGGTCTGTGAAAAATACTTCAGATGTTTGTAAATATACATAAATACACTCATTTATTTATATCTAAATACCGACTTTCATATATCAATATATATTTAGATCTATATAAATAATTATTGATATCACTACTCGAATTTATTATAACCAATCATATTGACGTCACGAATTCATAGTAAAACGGTACTACATTCGACCACACGATCTCTGTCAAATTTTGGCCTTACGGGAGCGGTGTGGTAGCCTCGTTGTTAAAGCGCCGAAGACCCGGGTACGATTCCCCACATGGCTACAATGATTGAATCTTATTTCTGGTGTCCCCCGCCGTGAAATTGCTGGTATTTTGCTGAAAGCGGCGCAAAACCCCATTCACCACCCACTCAGGTCTTACGACAAGATCCAGATGCTTGGTATCTATTCTTACCTGGAATTCCTACGGGGGAACAATGCCGTACCCATCCCCTGAAACAATGTATTATCCAATGAACAGCGGGTCACACATACGCTACAAAACATACTATTTATGACAATTAGATATCACGTACATGATATCGTTTACGAGAACAATGCAGGGGAATCTACAGTTGAATATTGTTGAGGTGCGGCGTTGGTCGTCCATTCATTGAGTCGTTCATAAAATACTTTGACTCCCGCGAAGAAGGCTGCATTCTTGGAGAAACCTATACAATTCATGACATATCTCATAATAACATAACGTATAGATTTGTAGATTTTATTGAACTCTCCCACATTAAGCTGACACGCCGTGATATACCAGTAACTGAAACACTGTTCAAAGCGGCGTTACAGTCATCTCACTGCTTCTTTCCTCGAGACGTAGACGTCGCTATATAAGTGCAATAATCTTGGACGCGACGTTAAACCCCATTTCACCTCACCTCGAGACGTAGAAATGTCGTTTTACTTGCTAGCTGACCCGTAAAGATCCGGGTTAAAATAGGTCTTTAGCAACCCATACTTGCCATTAAAGGCGATCATGTTTGTCGTAAGTGGAGATTAACGGGATCGTTTTGTCAAGCTCGCTGACTTGGTTGCATCCTATCCCAATTGCGTGGATCGTTGCTCATGATGTCAATCCCTGGATTGTCTACAGACTGCCGTCATATACCTGGAATATTGCTAAGGGCGGTGTTAAACAACAAATAAACAAACAAACATACTTGCTTGCTTACGTTTTTCACAATTATATAGGGGCGGTGGGGAAGCCTAGTGGTTAAAGCGTTCGCTCGTCACGCCGAAGACCCAGGTTCGATTCCCCACATGGGTACAATGTGTGAAGCCCATTTCAGGTGTCCCCCGCCATGATATTGCTGGAATATTGCTAAAAGCGGAGTTAAACTATACTCACTCACTCACAATTATATATCGCCACATTGAGTCAGAATCGCTACGGACCTCCACCAGTTTCCTCTGGCTTCGTCCTATAGCCATAGCCCGCCAACCACTCCTAATTCACCATTCTATCACATCTCCCGTGTGTGTTCATACACGTGTGTTACTGTATTCTTTTTGTGTCCCGCAGTGACTTGAATAATGTACACAATGATACAGTATTATAATGTGGATAACAGCGGTGTATTGTTTTAATAGTGAGTCATGACATCAAAGGCGTAGACAGGTAAAATCCTATTATACAATAATCCCGGGGATATAAAAAAAACAATTATCCCAAGGGCACTTCCGTCTCATCCCTGTATCTTGTCTGTTCAGCTGCGTAGATAATTTAATTCAAATCCCGAAAACGCTAAAGAAT